TTTGCTACATCTTACACCTTTTACTGGTTGCAGGATCTTCTGTCTTGGATGCAGGGAGCCCTGGTAACATTTTGTACTTAGGGACAAGATCCTTCACTGCAGGACATGTAGCAAACACCCTGCTGACATAAACCACTGCGTGGCTGAAGGAACTGAACTGAGGATAAAGCACCTTGAACCCAGACAGGACCCTGGAGAGGCTGACCTGGATGCTTTGAGATGCAGAGTTTAAGATACTTGGTAGAGAAGGGGAGCAATAAATGCCATTTCAAAAAGCACCAGAGGTGTACAGAATGTGCAGCTCCCACAGCCCCCTGGTGACAAGCAGCATCAGTCAGATGTCACCCACAGCACACACAGGAGTTGTGTGCTCTTCTGAGACAGGAAAGCACCTTCTTCTGTGTCTAATAAGAAATGCTTTCCTCAAGAGCAAAGCTGTGCTTGGTGGCACCACGCTGGGCCCATGCTGTGTGGCTGAGATCCTTGAACACTTGGAGACCTTGGGTCTGTCCTCACTCCTGTGACTGTCCAGGATTTGCTAAAACCATAAAAGCTCACCAGGAAATAGTACTGGGTTTGCATGGCAAGGTTTTAGTCATGGAGGGGCTCCAGGGGTGGTTTCTGTGAGAAATTGTGTGTGATGAACTGGCTGCAAATCCCTGCACTGCTGGAGGGGAGGAGATGGAGAAAATTGGGAGTGAAAGTGAGCCCAGGAAGAAGAGAGGGGTGAGAGGAAGGTGTTTTAAGATTTGGCTTTATTTTCTCATCATCCTGTTCTGATCTGGTTGTTAATAAATTAAATTAAATTTTCCCCAAGTCGGGTCTGGTTTGCCTGTGACAATAACTGGTGAATGATCTCTCCCTGCCCTGATCTTGACCCGTGAAGCTTCCTTGGCATGAGCCTTTACTGTATCTTCTATCGCCCATCCTGTTGAGGAGGGAAGCATTAGAGCAGCTTTGATGGATTTCTGGGGTCCCTCTGGGGTCAGCTCAGCACAGAAGGAAACCCCAAATTCACCCACTGAGGAGACATCTGCAATGTGTCCTGAGCCTGAGCCCACACATGCAAGCACAGACTCCTTCCCTGAGACAGCAGACTGGAGCAGCCACGAGCACGGCTGTCTTTGACTCTGTGTCTGAAATAAGGGAGAGAGGTGGGAGGGAAAAGTACACGGGCTTCCCAAGGATCTGGGAAGGAGAGTGCTTTCAGCTTCCCATATGGCATTTGGGACCTTGCAGAGCAATGTGTCCCCTAACCAGAGGGACTAAAGAGCCCCTGATCCCGGGGGGAGAGGAGGAATAATTGGTCTTCACTGGATTTTTAAAGCTAGAGCAACAAGGTGATTGTGGACTTTCCTGAAGCAAGAAGGGTTTTCCTCCCAGACCAGCAGTGCTAGAGGGCTCACTTTTTCCAGGTCTGAAGGAGGGTTCACAGCTCTGCCCGTGTGATGGTTTTGATTATTCCAGTCTTGTATCATTTGTTGAGTTAAAACTGGTGTGAAAGACAAAGAAGCTGGGCAGAGGGGATCATTTGCCTAAGGGGAAACGAGAAGGTGATAGCTATAAGATACAAAGAGCATTCATCTCTGGGCTCAGCACTTCAAAATATCTTCAGACTCAGCTCACATCTTCAATGGCAGGCCTCTATTTCTTCACGTATCACAGAAACTGGTAGGTGGAAAGGGACATCTCAAGATCCCCAACTCTCTTGGTCACTCAGAGCTGATCCCAGAGCTACATCTGGTTTTATTCACCCAGCAAGGCAGCGTTGTTGGTCACCTGCAGCAGCCAGAGCTGTCCCCATAGGTTTGGCACCCCTTTCCCAACCACAGCAGCCCTCAGGAGGTTTGCTCATCACTCTGGTGGGCCCAGATCCCACCTGTCCAGTGATCCCTGCCAGGGAGCAAGGGGTCACTCGCTCATCCAGGGACAGGGACCCAGCTAAGACCTCCTCACAGGTGGCTCTACCTGCTCTCTGCACGGTGCCAGCGTTTGCTTTTCCTGACCACACCAAGGGGCCATCAGAAGCAGAAATTGTCACTCTAGAGGGAAGTTTAGCAGAGCCTGCAAGAGCACGACTGCGACTCCTCCACAATTCCCTCAAAGCAAGCAGACCTGGAGGAGGAGGAGGAGGAGGAGGAGGAGGAGGAGGAAGAAGGAAATCTCCGACACTGCTTGGCTGGCAGGAGCAGCTCTGCTGTGAGCTCGCAGCAGGTTCCATGGGAAGCAAGGAGGGGACAGCTGAGGGAGTTCTGCCCCAGCTGATGAGGTTAACAGATGGCCACAGGAATTAAATGAAATGAGCGGAGAATTAGCACAGGGACGAGGAAGGCAAATAAGGCCCCGAAAAGGCTTCATCATTTCTGGGGAATCACTGGTGAACACAGGCTTTGTTCTTACCCTGCTGACACCAGCACCACTCGACTGATCTCATTGTGGGAGAAGAATTAGGCTGAAAGATGGATAAACCTGCAGGCTCGGACACAAACCAAGCACACAGGCAGGCTGGAAATGAGGCACAGTGCAAAGCCCTGCATCCTCAACTGCTTCTGGAAACCTGTGCCACTGCCTGCTGGGCTCACTCTGTCAGCCAAAATACCACTGGATTCAGCATGGATCTTCGTACATCTGCAGGAGGGGAAGAAACTATGTGATTTTCTGTGTTATCTGTAGCCCTCACCTCAAGTCAGAGATGATGCCCTGCAGGTCACCAACATGGAAAAAAACCCAAAGCAGATATTTTTCTATTTCTATATCTCTAGCTGTATCTTCTAACTATGCACAGACAATGACAAAGGTGTTCAATAAAAATGAGTTAAGTGGAAGAAATAGTAGAAACTGGGGAATCAAGTGGCTGGAGAAGCTGCCTGGCAGCCCTTTGTCACTTCCCTCTGTCCTGCAGTATTTCCCTCAGAGGAAAGGAAGGCTCACATTGCTAGTGCTGGCCTAACAATCAGCTGCTGCCCCACTTCCTTCTGGATGACTGCCGGGATAGAGCCAGTGGTACTGCTGCTGCATCCACATAGGAAGCAGAGATGGAATTATGCCTCCATAACTTCTCATTAGCCAGCACATTTTTCACTACCCCCAGCCAGGCGCTGCACGGGTGGTGGGGAGGAAGTATGAAAACCCTAATCTGCCTGTGCAGAGATGCTATCACCCGCTGATAATTCGGCTTCAGCGCCGAGCAGTAAAAGCTGGCTGCCAAGCAGAAAGTTTGGGGAAGTCCTGAGGACTTGCCCAAATCTGGAGCAGAGACTAGAATCTGTAAAATTTTTTTATTTTTTTTTTAATGGTGGAACGCCGCGGCACCTGCGCGGCTCCGAGGTACGCGCGGGCTGGAGCAGCCCGTGGATCCCATGGATCCCGGCGGGAGCAGGCAGGGGCGGAGCGGGTCCCTGGCAGGCAGCAGGAGCTGCTCTCGCACCGCGGCTCCCGGGACAAGGAGCCCCCGCTGGCTGCGGCTCCAGGGCCGGCAGCTCCACCGGGAGCGGGCTGCGGGATGCAGGGTGTCCCCACAGGCAGCAGCCCTGTCCCTGTCCCTGTGCCCAGCCCCGCGCCGGGAGAGAATGCCGGCGGATGCTCTGCCCCTCTGGAGACGAGCGAGCGCTGTCGCTCGCAGAGGCCGATCCGCAGCCGGAGCAGCACAAAGCCGCTGACGCCGACACAAAAGTTGGGATTATTTACAGCTCCCGGTGGCTCCTTGCGCGGCTGCCAAAGCGCGGGTTCAAAGAGGAGAAACACGAACGGCAGCTCTAAAGGTCTGCTCCGACAAAAAGACAAACGCTTGACAGCTCTCCCCAAGGCAGCCAAAGGCGGGACAAAAGCGGAGCTGCCGCCGCTCGGAGCGCTCCCCTCGCCGCGCTCCCCTCGCCGCGGCCGGAGCCGGGTGAGCCACGCCGGGAGGGGCAGGGCAGGGCTGCAGCCACAGCTCCCTTCCCTTCCCAAACCTGCTGCCCAACAGCGCTTCCAGAGACTCAGGACAGCCCTGGAGCTTCATCCTGCGTCTGTGCCGTGCCCTCGCAGGACCCCAACAAGGCGCCCCCAAACACCCAACACACGCCCCTGGATCACCTCCATCTCCCCTCCGCACCCGCTGCCGGCTGGCCGCCCCCTCTGCCCACAACTCCCACCGAGCCCCGCAGGATGAGAACGCACAGCCACGCGCAACCAGCGGTTTGAAACATTTTTAAACGCTTTTATTTACAGTGCTTGTTGAAAACAATATATATATTTATATCTATCATCCTCGTGATGTCTGTGCCATAGAAAACGCTGTGGCTATATTGCCGTTAATTTACAAAAAATGGTCACAAGAAAAATCTGAAAGGGAAAAAATGGAAATCAACGTTTGGTCCCCAATTGTGTCTCTCTTGATTTGTTTTAAAAAAGCCTCCAAATTAAAAAAAATACACAGCTCAGATGAAATTCATATATAAAAGCAACCCTTATCTTCCGAAAAATTCACGAGGGCCAGCTTGCTGTCATGTAAACTTGGAAAAAAAAGAGAAAAGCTTAAAATAAATCCTGTCTCCGTGTGTTGCTTAATAGAACCATTATTTGCTTGTAATATTCTTTGTCTCTCAGGGTTCAGCGGGAAAGCTGCAGGATGAGAAGAGGCCTGGGGCCAGGGAACGCACCATGAGAGAGATCTGTGCCCGCACCTCCTGGCTCAGGGAGGAGCTCGGGCAGCAGGGCCGGGGGGCGGGAGCGCTCAAGAATCTCACACCAGTGACAAAAACAGGCGGGCAGGTGACAAGGGGACAGGTGACAAGGGGACGGGAGGGGCTTTGCCACGTGAAGCGCCTGGCGAGGTTGTGTGCCCAGGAAACCATGAGATTCTTGAGGGAAGAGGAGCACTGGGAAGTGGGGTGCAGTGAAGGGATGCAGGGATGGGGATAATTCAGCTGGGGAATGATGTCATGGACGGACCAGGTCTTTGGGTGAGAAGGGAACCGCTGTCTTCCCCGTCTGAGAGCGTTTCTAATCTTTCCTCATCTGAGATTGTGTGAAGCCAGAGGCTAACGGGCAGTGCAAGCACAGGCTGGAATGGAGGAGGAGAGATGGACGGAACAGGGGAGATGGGAGGGGAGGACTCAAGCTTTAGAGCCATTTTCTGTCTTCTGTCTCTTTGGATCCACTTCATCCTGCATCAGCCACAGAGAGGAAAAAGAAGGGAGTTACCATCAGTCACCACCCCAAGGTACATTATTTCTCCACAGAATTGTTAACTGCTGCTCCTTCCTCCATATGGAAATCTCTGTTAGGCCCACCCCAAATCCACTCCCCTCTAAAGCACCCTGGAGTGCCGGAGACAGCTGGTTAAGATGTGGGCAGTTCCACCCAGAGGGACAACACGCCCATACTGTTACTTCCCGGAGGTGTAAGAAGCCGAGGCTCACACCACTCCAGACAGACCTCAGGGTCTGCCCTTATGTGGAAGATCAGACCCTTCAGTCACCTCACCCTTACAAGTCCACCTCCTGGCCTGAAGCCCAGCGGTCACAGGTAGTCCAGAGGTCACTGCCAAGCACAACCTCCAGCACCTCGACTCTCGCACTTTGTCAGCACCACTGGTGCTGGTGGAAGGACCTGGAGTCTACAAGGAGCACCCAGTGATTTACAATCCCCTTCCCAGATCAGATTTGTTTACCCATCTGCTCCTAAAGCAGTGAGGCCCAAGGCCTATTTGAGATTCTCAGCAGCGGCATCCACATGGATTTGATCAACAAACGGCAAGCAGCCCCATTCCCTCTCCCCTCCATTATTCTCACACTACTGCTCACCTTCTCCTCCTCTGCAGATCGTTTCTCTGCGTGGCCATCCTGCTCCTGCCCATTCTCATCTGCTTCTAAGCACAAGCAAGAAAGGAAAATCATGGGTTAAACTGAAGCAGCATTTAAGGAAATGTAATCTCACAGTCAAGAGGGATCAGAGAGAGAATTTCCCTCCACAATCCTTTATTCCTCCATGGCCTCCTATTCCTTTAATTTTCCCTACCTTCCTCCTCATCACCACCTTCTTCTTCATCCACATCATCGGGATTCTCTTCATCGTCCTCGTCAGCTCCGTTCTCCTCATCCTGAATGAAACAAACCGGTCAGAGCAGAAATTGGTGCCAGGATGACATTTCCACGTGCTCTTCGTTACAAGCACAACAAATTCCAGAGCTCCAGCCACTCCAGGTATGCATTTGACTGCATTGCTGCTCTGACACCGTTATTCCCACCAGCCCTCCTTCACAAAGCCCATCCTTCCAGTCCATGCCCAACAACACGAAGCTCCTTGCCTCACATCCCGATGAGCTGCTGCCATCCCTCCCAACAACCGCAGCATCTCTCTGATTACAGGCTAATGACTTAGCCGAGGCTCACGGTACATCTGCTCCCAGATCCCTGCCGACCTCCATCAATCTGTGCCTTTCCTCACTGCTCCTCCCCCACCTCCTCCAACACACGCTCCCTGTGGCCCTGCGCCCACTGGGGTATTCCGGGGTGCACATCTCCCGTGCCACATTCTCCCACTTGTTCCCGGCTTCCTTCCCTACTCTGACCTTTTTTCTCCCCGATGAGCTGTGCTTACTACACCAAGTCCTTCAAGGCTCCTTCTCCACAATTATCCAGGAGCTCACTACTCTCCCTTTACCTCTACGTGGATCTCCCTTGGCCTGCCCTCTTTCTTCATCTCCCATATTCCCTTCCTATTTGCTGCCCACAGCGAGCACAAAAACCTCCCCGACGTCACCAAATCCGTCCCTCAGAAGAGCCTCACCTCTACTATCTCCTTCTTCTTTTCTTTGTGGACTGCTTTCTCTTCGAGTTTTTCCTTCTTTTCTTTCCTTTCCTAGATATGAAACGAGGTGCGGGGGGGAGGGGGGGAGGAAAACCAACAACATTCCGGCGGTCAGCGGCAATAAAAGAATAAAGGACGGGGATGCCTAGACAAAGAAGGCTGGGAGGAGAGGCGGCATAGCGGGCGAGGAGGAGACATATTAGGCGTTAAATCCGCCCGCCTGACAAAGGAAAACAGCGCAGCGAACGCGCGTCACAGCTACTTTTAGCCCGCACACGCGTGTGGAAACCAGAAGAGGCACGGAAGAGTTTTAACGATTTATTACCAAAAAAAAAAAAAAAAAAAAAAGGCAACCTTGCCCGTAGGATTGAGGCGTTTCCGGACCTCTCTCTCTCTCCATTCCACCCCTCCCTCCTCCTTCCCCCGCCACCCGAGGGCCCGCGCTTTGCTTTGTGTCCACACAACTTTCGCCCTGCTCCGCCGTGACACCGACACCGCTTCCCGGCCCCCCCCGCTCCCGCCGACCCCGCTCCGAGCGGAGCCGAACCCAGCGCGCGCTCGCGCCGCCCGGCCAATGGGGGGCGGGGGCGGGGCGGGGGGCGCGAGGGCCCTCGGGGCCCCCCCCGCCCCGCCCCCGCCCCCCCATTGGCCGGGCGGCGCGCGAAGGGGCCGCGCGCGCCCCCCGCCGCCAGGGCACCTCACGGAGCCCCCGGCCCCCCCGCCCACTTCCCCCGCCGAGCCCGCTCCCTCCCCTTCCCTCCCGCCGGGAGCGCCGCCGGTTGCGAGGGTGGGCAGAGGGGAGCGGGAGGGGAGGGAGGTGTCTCACCTTAGCGCTCAGCTCCGCCGGTGCCTCCTCAACGCGTTTTTCCGACATCCTGGCCCCCCGGTTGCGAAGGGAAGAGGCCGGTGGGAAGCGTGCGAGGGAGGGAGGGAGGACGAGAGCGAGAAGGGGTCAGCGGCGGGAGCGCAAAGTCCCAGCGGTCCGCAGGCGGCGGCAGGATCCCGCCCCGGGGGCCAAAGTACCAGGGTCTCCCGCGGTGGGGGGATCCGCCGGGGCAGGGGATTTATACAGCGCCGGTGACGAGGGAAGGAGGGACCTGGGGAGGGAGGAGAGAGGGACGGGAGGCGGAGGAGGGAGGGGAGAGGGACGGGCCGCTAGAACAATGTGCGCTCAGCCGCGGCCGCCCGGCAGCGGGGGCGCACCGCGGGTCCCCGCAAGGCGCCGCACGACCCCGTCGAGGCCAGCCGAAAGCCCCGCTCCGCGCCGAGGTGCTGCGGCTCCGACGGGAAGTGTCCTGGGAGGGGAGGGGAGCCGAGCCCTCTGCCCGCAGCACGCCCGGGGAGCCGCCCGTACAGGCTGGCAGGCTCTCCAGGAGGAATCCGGGGGAGGCGAGAAGCGGCGCTGCGGGGCCGTGTGGGAGGGCAGCGCTGGCGACACGCGGCCTCCTGCCTGGAATTTTCCACTCCAGCTGCCCGCCCTTCCTCCGCTGGAAGCGCTCCCGGCGGCGGGGCTCCTCCCGCCCCTCCCCTTCTCCCCCCGCCTGCCCGCCCAGCGCCGGCCGCTTTTCCCGCGCTCTGCGCGCGGCGGACGGAGTGGGCGGGGCCTCGGGCAGGGGTGGGCGGTGCTTCGCGGAGGGAGTGGGCGGGGCAGCCGCCGGCGGCGGGGGGGCGGATTAGCGATCGCATCCCCCGGTCCCCATATAAGGAGGGGCTGGGGCAGGGACGCCTGATTGGGCCATTCAAATGAGCTGTCTGCCTGGCAACAGGTTTCCCATTGGCTGGCGGCGGGCAGCGCGCCGGCGAGGCGGGGGCGCGGGGCTCTTTGGCGCAGTGCGAGGCGGGAGGGGCCGCTGGCACGTGGGGCGGCGGGAAGGCGCGCGAGGGCGCGGGAATTGTCCGGCTCGGCTCGGCTCGGCTCGGCTGGCACCGACCTCCCGCTCCCGGGCACCGGGCGGGCAGCGCACGGCGGGCTACACTGACCCCTGCCGCCCGCCCGGCTCGGGCCCGAAGTCCGGCTGACATTCTGCCAGTGCCTCCCTCCGGGCTGGGAAGGATCATCGCCCAACTACCCGGTCTCCCTTTAACCAAAGGCCCTTCCTGCAGAACCGCAGGTGGTGACTTCTAACTGCAGGGATTTGTTCCTAATGAAACAAATGTTCCTGTAGGTTCTCCTCAGCCCTTTGGTTACCAGCTTGAGCAGACTGGGATGACTAAATTCCCTTCACCTTTCCCAGAGGGTTTCTGTTGTCCCGCTCTTAGTCACAGGCTCATACAAAAGAAAAAAAAGAAAATAAATCTGCACAAATTTGCAGGCCTACCAACATACCAACTGAGCATGTACATTTGTACATGTGAAAAAAGCCAATCACTTGTTTTTAAAATTTTAAAAGTTTAATAGTAATAAAATGGTTATAAAAGTCCTAATACAATTAGAGTAATAATAATTTGGACAATTTTAATTAGGGCAATATAAGACAACAGAGACAAAGAGTTACAGACGTCCAGGTACCTTTTTCGGGGCAGCACGAGCCCAAAAAAGGACACCCGTTAACAGAGGATTAACCCTTAAAAACAACAGTCTGTTGCGTATTCATACACTTCATACATGATGCATAAATTCCATTCAAATACAGAGTTCTGTCTGGTCATCGTCAACTTCTTCCTCATAATCCTAACAGTGCCTTCGAGGCGGGAAGAAGTTTGCTTCTTCTGATAAGAGGGCAATAAATTCTTTTTCTCTGAAAGATTTAGGTGTCCTGTGGCTGCTATCTTGCTGCAAGTCCTTTCTTTACAAAAAATAAGTATCTTACATAGCACAGTTTCTGTTCTAACATTTTTTATGGCCTAAAACTATATTTAACACACTACTTAAGAGAATTAATACAACATTACTTTCTAACACAACACATATTTAATATTTGCGAAAAGCCAATCATACAATATGCATTTGTCACATACACGTGTATGCAGTGATTCTCGCAGGTGCAAGGCAAGGTTATTAACCCATCTAGTTGGAAAACGTATTGAGGTGCAGAAGCCCTTCTTGTCCTCCAGACACAAACTCAGCCTCTGTGCAAAGTCAGGATTTAGAGCTGGTGCTCTTGAGTTTAATTGAATGTGTCTCACTTTGAGCATTTAACAGCAAAAGCCATTGGTATTCGTGGAACATAGGGCACTGAGTACGTATCTCCTGAAGGAAGGTATGAAAGGGATTGGATAAATTGTGATCTGTGTGACAGGGAGGTAGAAGGTCCCCACCTTGCCATCTTGTCTCCTCCACAGCTACAGCTGCTTCTCTCATGATCTGACTAATTGACGTTCTTCCCAGCTACACACAGTGCGGAGTGCCTGCTCCAAAACAGTCCTGTAACTCTAGACACACACACATCTAGACTAGTACCAAAATAAACCAAATTATGAAAAGGCATGCACTAATTTTTCTTTTCCCCTACTGTTTCACAAAACCCATCTGGCCAATTTCTCAGGTCTAGCTGCTCTCAGCATTCCAGCCCTGGTTTGGCTCAAGTACCCCTCTTTCATCCTTCTCTTTTGCATGAAGAAAATCTTAATTTCTAGATATACATCTAAAAATAGGACCCAAAATAATCCATATAGTGGCCAGATGTTGTTCCTCTCTGCTTCTGTTTGTCACAAGGTGTGTGGCTCATTGCTCTGCTGTTCTCCTCACCGATCCAGGATTTTTTTTCCAGGATCCTTTTCCTTTACACACTCAACCACTGAAAACACAAAATTACATTGACACATATCCCTTGGCAAAGACATCTTCACATTAATGCACAAACAGGCCGTGACACAACATCCTAGAGGGGAGAAAGCAAAGGATTATGTTCAGAGACGTTCCCGTGCCCCAAGCTCCACGTTGACACAGACTGCGCACCCACGGATGCAAACAGACAAACACCTGTTTGTGCAAGGGGAGCTTGTTTCCAGCAACCTGTGGGATGGAGCTGTGGGGTCAGCCCTGCAAGCTGGCATGGCAGCAGCGAGCTCTCCTTTCCTCCCCAGCACCTGCAGCCTGCAACCTCACGTTGTCCCTTCCGTGCTCCTTACCCTGTCCCCTTTGCAATTTCCCCCTCATCTGCTGCTTCTTGGCATTTGTCTCCTACCTGTGTTCTTGGAGCACTCTTCCCATGGCTCTCTCCCTGGCTTCTTTGTGACATCCTGTATCTTACAAAATTCATCTCACATCCCTCCTTTGTTTTCCGCATGTCCCATTTTGCCCTGCATGATTGTATCTACTATGCTTTTCCCCTAAATTCCAACGTGAAATTCTTCTTCGTATCTTGTGACCTTCCTGTCTCTGCATTCTGACTCTTCCTGCCCTTTGGATCCCGGTGGTGAGACTCCCTGGGCTTCTAGTGTGCAGCTGCTTCCCTCAAGCCCTGAGGGTATCCACTGACTGTCTCACCTAGCTCTTCCCTGTGACTCCTGCTCCTCCACCTGATCCGTGCCACTCTGCATTTCGCCTGCCAGATCGATCTGCAGCTTTCCTCTGCTCCTCTCTCCCATCTGTGCTCTCCCCTTTGTTGCAAACGCAAGTACACTCATTGTGCGCTCTGCAGATGCCCGTCCCTGCTCTGTGTGTTCTCTGGGCTTTGTCTGCAGCTGCTTTGCCAGCTCAGCAGAATATATTCCATCCTTTTCGGGGACTTGCATCCTCAGACAAAATGAGGGAGCTGCAGAAGTTACATGACGGATCATTGTGTGGAACAGACACTGTCTGTGTCTGCCTGCAGCCCAGACAACAATGGGAATGTCATTTTCTCCATCCAGTGTCCCAATTTTGGTGCTGTACCCTGTTTGTGCTTGGTGTTTATGTGGGTGTGTGCGTGTGTTTAGGTGCAGTACATACCTGTTTGTGTACAGAGGGGATATTTTCCCTCTGTTACACTCTCTGACTGCTGTGAGTGTGGAAAGCATGGTACTTTTCTGCTGAGGCGTGCACTGAGCTCACCAGCATGTGCCATCATACGTGAGCACGTGGCTGAGATGTGTTTGGGCTTTCATGCGTGGCATCTATTCTTCTGCTCCCAGCAAATGCGGGGTGAATGCACCTAGAAGCAATTATTTATGCATTTTGGTCTATTACCTTGCTAGTCATGTCACTGTGTTCTGATGGGGGGCACAGGGGACTTTAGTGTTTGTTTTGAAGGCTGAACTAACTAACTGCGAGCCATTTTCTGAGCAAAAGCAAAACACAATAACTGGATATTTTAAGAATTATATTGACTGAGCTAACTTCTAAGTGGTTCCAAACCACTTCCAAACTATTTGCTGATTAACAAAAGAGCAGGAGGATGTGAATTTGCATTAAATTTTCTTAGATTTACATAAATACAAAATATCTGTCCTTTCACTCAGAGCAAAAGTAGCAAAATCTCAGTGTGCAGAGGGAATGTGTTTGAATGCATTTATGTATTTAACCCACGCCATTCATCTTGCTGTACTGTGTCCATTAAAAGTCCCGGCAGATAATCCGCTTTGTTCTTCTTTCACGATGCCCTATACCGAATTTAAGAGGAAATACCCAAGAATTCAACGTACCGGCCAACTTTGCATTGGGAAATGGCTTCCTGAGAGGCAGCATATTTAAATAAGCCCTGCAGGAGGGCTGGGAAGCAGGGTAGGTAGCACAAGGAGAAGGAGCAAGAGGAGGAGAAGGGAATGACGAGGGGTGACACAGCCTGTCAGAAGACTGGAAACAGGAGGGATGTTTTCAATCGTGATTTTTTGTGAGCCTCTCTTTGCTAACGCGGCACAGATGGAGGTCGCGGTTCTCGCTCACAGTGTGACAGACACACTCTTAACACGAGCAAAATATTCTGAAAGTAATCGCTGCCACACAGCGCAAGCTGCAGCCACCACAAGCTGGCTGCAGCATCCCAAACACGAATTTTCGCGTTTGAGGATCAAATCAGAGCTGTCCTTCACTGAGGGTGCCCTTCGCTGAGGTCAGAGCTGGTTGTTGGGTGAGGATTGCGTAAGAGGCACAGCGCAGGGAGCCAATGGGGAGATGGCT